ACAATCATGGGGTAAACGGTTGATTCCGCAATGCTGGGACGAACGACTCTAATTAAGAAACAATTTCGTGGAGGTAATGAAATCCCGGTTTTCCGGCGTGGTGGATAAAATTTGACCGTTATCGAGGGAGCGCACGGCGACCGTGTACCGATGCAAAATTGCGCACGGAGTCCTTATGAATCGTTTGCAGCGACGTAATTACGCCGCCATTACAAGTAATTTCCGAAACTCGCGTCTCGTTTCCGTGAACTTGGCTGATCCTTCCAGGGCTCTGAAATTTCGACTGTCCACGAAATTAAAAAGTGTTATTTCCATTTCATTGATTTTATATTAACACTATGTTTATGAAACGCGTCAATTTGATGCATATTGAATTTTAGAAACATTATTTAGTAAATATTTTCATCGATTTTCATTGATACAATAACACAAATGTGTATTTTAATTGTCTATCTTTAAACATTCAATTTCCAAAATCTAAATGAATGAATATCAATTTTTCTAAAACCAATAAAACAGATTGTACAATAAATCTCCACAAACCTAGTTTTAATTCGTCTACCGACACTGATGTATTTTTCCTCCTCCTTTTTCTCTCTCTCTCTCCCATTCTTGCTCATTTCTTTTGTTATTTTGAGAACATATTAGGTATAAGTAGATGAAAATGCTAGATATCTTATACATAATCTATTATTAGTACTAAAGAACACATGATAAACGTATGTTACTAGTGCTAGGCAGTAAATGTTAGAAAATCTTAAGATAAGCGAGAGTCTTACTTGAAATCGCAATAGTGTTTACTTGATATTTTTAATAAATATTAAGCTTTATGCACACGAAATTTAAGTGTTTACCGAAAAATTCAGTAAATACTGATTTTAGTAATTACTTTACTATTTATTCGGACAAAACCCAGTAATTTATAAAATCTGTTGTAGAAGCTAATGCTTCTCTTTATGCATACGACCCATTGCAACAAATAATTTCCGAAGTTCAAGTCTCGTTTCCGTGAACTTGGTCGATGCTTCCGCGGCACTGAAATTTCAACTATCCGCGAAAGTAAAAAGCGTTATTTCCGTTTCATTGATTTTATATTAATCCGTCCACCGTCACGATATATTCGTCCTCTCCCTTTTTCTCTCTCTCTCCCTTTCTCACCCATTTTTTTTTTGTTATTTCGAGCATAGCGGCAGAAATTTAAAATACATTTGTCCCTCTCGAAAACCGTTTCCCATGAACGGTGTGTGTGGATTACCGTAAATGCATATGCGTGACGAATTACACCGGCGAACGAACGATATTTCTGCGTTAATATATTCAAGCGGGTTAGCCGGCTAACAAAACCGCGACGCTTAAAAAATCCTCTGCGCCCGTAACGTATATTTAATTGCAAGAATTATTGCGTTGCGACGGCGGACGTTAGTTGCAATTCATATCAACGATGACAGGGTTTCAGCCGGTTCCGCAGCTGCGCCGCAATAACGCGAGCTCCCCCTAAAATACATATTTGTCGCAAGTATACACGGTCTTCTTGTTTTTCCGCCTCTTTAGCGGCGAGCTTGTCGGGGATAGGATAAACATTAAGTCGTCGAGGGTATTACCGGGGATCTGGATAAGCTGAATATTTCCATTTCTGAAGATTCGAAATTGCTCCGCCATGATGGTTGATTCGAGTGTATCAGACAGACTTCCAATGATCTCGTGTAAAACATTTCAAAACTTCCCGAGAATTTTATTCATTCCGTATGTATACTGCTTAAAATGTTTTTACTTTGTGTTTTGTACCAGAAGACGGTACGTTTAACACGCATTAAATCTTTCGTCCTGGAATATGTATTTTTCCCCTAAATCAAAGAGAGGGACATGAACAGCTGCTTTAAGGGAAATTGAAGCTTTTCAATGAAAGAAATAACATAAGCACTAATAATAATAATATTCAGCACTTAAACTGTCAACCATAAGCAGAGACCTGGCTAACAGAGAAAAGGTTAATAGTGTAGAATTTGATGCATGTAATTTTTGTTTCATTTGAACATTTTATTTGATTACAAATTAGAAATATTAATATAACAGGAGAACAATTTTTATTCTTCCTCTCTTGTATATATTATAAATGACAAGGAAACGTTTAAGCGAATAAAGTCCAAAAAACATGTCTATTTCATTCTTATCGTGAAGTGTTAATCGACAAAATCAATCGTTTCTATTCTATTATTCACAGGACTTAAGACATAAAAATTAGCAGAAATATTCCTAGTCAGAAAGCTAAAGTAACATAGAAGTGAGCACACACTCAAGGAAGTTCACAAATCTTACTAGTAAAACTATTATTATTACTGTAAAATCCTCCAACTCAAAAATAACGGAAGGTCTACAGTGAACATAAACTCCGACCAACAGTTACTCGTAACTGGCATTGTTCGCCACGTGTACGCGATACAGACTATAACGAGAGGAACATTGATACCGGGCCACTTGAAGATAAGCGTCCCTTGCCGTCGCGTTGATCGCCTGGTCCCGGAATTCATCCAGAAACTTGTAATTATTTTCAACGTCATACGTGCAGACGCAACGGACGCGGAACCTCTTCATTAAAGGAAGCCCAGGAAAGGATAATTAAAAGTTCCACGAGAGGAACGTCAGAGAGTGTGTCGCGCAACTACGGGGACCCTGAATTTCCCTGTTATTTGCTCCTCGAAATTGCCACGGCCCGTCCCAGCTCGTCCGTCCGCCTTAACCCCGATTCACGTAAGTCTTCTCCTTGAGTCTCGTTGTCCCGGGAAACCTCGGATCGGGCTGATTAGCGCTTAGACGTTAATTACAGTTGTCTCGTGGCCCTGCGACAAAGTCGACGAAAGTTCGTGACCCGGCGAGTGCAACGCCCGAACACGAAATTGTTGGATCTTGCCATGAAACTTTGTTTCGTTGCGAGGCTGAGTCTGATCTCCTTCCGGTTGGCAGGTTTTTGAATGAGTCTGATACTTGGGCAGGCTTCGTGGAATGTATTGGTTTTTGCACTTCTATGCCGAATGTGATTCGACATTAGATTTATTTAAACGCGCGCTTTTCTGTTGAGATATTTTTAACGCTAATTGTACCGGCACTTTGTATGTGGCTAGTCCTATCGTAACCAATGAAATAACTAGTTTGAAAATAAAGGTAAGCAAGTTAGACGATACAGTTTTTTTTAATGGAAACAAAAACAAAAGGAAAGTCAAGAATTGAGAAACTGATTAATCGAACTATAAAGTAATTGATGTAAAGTTAAATGACTGAAAGAATTTTAAATCAAATTTTAAAACCGGTCACTTGGCCGATTGTGGTACTTTTACTATTAAATTGTATTATGTTGTTGTGATTGTTGGGGGTCGCGGTCTATCTCGTGAATGATTTAGAACTCGCGACTTAGCGAAAATATAGTGGACTGTATTTGTACAACTTAGCCGGTTTACAAGTTTTCGAAGTGTGTCTCTTCTAGTCGGTGGTTGCTATACGAATGCTTTTTTGAAGTCGCGAGTGCTTCTCAGCTGCCCCTTGGAATTTGCAATTGTCCACTGATTGGTTCTTCCAATTTTTGGATAGGTCCAATCAGCGAACCTAGGTTAGAAGGCATCCCTTCCTTTACGCCCTCGGCGTGTTTCCTTGAGGAAGGGGTCGCGAGATTTTCCAAGGGGGGAGAGACTCTAGAATTCGGCGATGGTGGGCGACGCATCTGGTCAACACCAGAGACGGTTTCCTGACCCTGCATCGGCCGCGGAAACCGTTGGGCGACCCATGGTTCTTGCTGACATGCTCAGGCCGTGAAGGTTTAGAGCAGGGCAATAACTATTGAGACCAACGAAAAATGCGTGCAAAAAACTAAAGGTATCGACAAATGCTGTGACAAAGAGTAAAAATTGGAAAGAGCGTACCATCTGGCGAGTGTCGTCCAGATGGCAAAAAGAAACTAAATTTACGAATTCTCAAAAATAGCTGTGCTTCTAATCCCTGCCATAAACCCCGTACAAATTGGCCCGAACAGTGATATTTTTAATAGTATTACGAAAAAGAATTGTTTAAACGGTTTTCTACAAATTGTCTGTATTTTGAAATAAGTTTTAAATGAAACACTTAAAGTAATACAGAGTTGTTGGAAAAAAATGTTAAAGGAACTTGGAGTGGAGAAGGTTAACACTGTGACGTCCGCATGTGTGACAGAAACAATACTTTCCATATATTAACGTATTTTAGTAAACCATAAAAGTTTTAATGTCTTTAATCTTGTTATCTGATACACGTGAAATTTCCTTGAGACATATAAATAAATGTAAGCCTTTTCATTACAATAGATATATTTTTATTACTTTCCTCTGTACTCAATACTTTTTCTTTGTCTTACATGCGACACCAACGTGCTGCTACTTGATAGCATAGTGTTAATAATTGTAAGAGAGCTAGATGTGTATTTTTATAGAATATTGAGATTTGTATTAGGAGGTTTTGTGATTGAACTTGTTTTCACTAGAGAATTATATATTATTTATAGCCTTTCTTTTATAGATAAGCTTTGATGTGCAAGATTTAACTCAGTTTTATGGATTAAAGTGCTTGCAAGTATTAGATTATGAAAACTATGATTTATGATATATTTCTGGTGCTTTTCGATATTAATAACGGAATCTACTCTATGTTAATCACTCTCATTCAACGATTTATGTGTTACATATTTGCAATATGTGTATATGATAACCGAATTGTTATGCGATTCATTTCAAATCAAAATTGTAATTCGCATCTTGATAAAAGTTCTTTGTATGGAGCTGTCTGACCATTAACACCTTACTCTACTGTAAACGTGTTTTACTAAATTATACCTACATCACCTACGTTTTCATTAAATACATTACCATAAGCATATGGTTATAGCTCGTTTCAACGAACTTGTCTCACTAAACAATTTTTTATCCTTGAACTATACGTACCGTGACTAATTAACTAATATCAGTCCTTTTTCTTTTCAGCTATGCCCTACAAGCAACAGCGTCCTATTATCGAGGGTGAGTCTTCATTTCCATTTTCTAATTGCAAAGAAAAAAACACAATTTCACGAATACGGCATCTATCACTCACATTTCATTAATGCAAACAGATCAAGCAACATTCCTACGTATCTTCGCACAGTAAAAGTTACTCGTGTCTCACGTATCATTAAACAACTCCATGCACAAGCGTCAGAACAAGCTGCGCCTCGTTATTACTACTTAATTAAGTTGTTCCGTTAGAACATCGTAAAACTTGAAATAAAATTTTACAATGGTAATAGGAATGAGTACGTTTCGGTTTAATAACGGCGAATGTTACGAGCTGACAGGTCGAAGAAGCGTTACGATCGCTCGACTGACACGAAAGAAAGAGTCTGGGAATACTGCTGTCACAGAAATCGCGATTCAATGGATGGAAATTCGCCATCACGCGATGTTTAGGTACGTTATCCCGCGGAGCCAAATAGACGCGCAGGCTCGTGTCTTTCAAAGCCGTGCACGACTCAATTACGCGAAACACAGCAGCAAGCATAACTCGAAATTGCACCGATCGGAACGATCACGCCATCGTGTTCGCAAACACGTCCGGAATCTCAGTGAGTTAATTGAACGGCCGATTCCTGGAAGCAGCGCTTTTATTCTGTCTTTTTCACATTTTTCACTCCGATCATATTTGCTTTGCCCGTGGTATATATCGGGGGCCAGCAATTTTTCAGTAGGTAAGCTACAACAATGGCCGCACATAAATGCTCGGAATTACGGAAAACATTGCCGCTTCACAAATCGTGAAACAACGCTTGCGTCTCGCGGACGTTCGTAAAACTTGTTTACATTCGACCGTTTTTTCTCTTGTTTATCGCTCGGAAGGATCGATACTTTTTCCCTCCAATAGCGGATAAAGTTCCGCGGGGACTACTTGCCACTGGAAAAAACGAATTTTCGTCGGATTGCGTTGCATGGCCAATTATTTGTTTAGTATTAAACATTTTGATCGTTTATCATGAAAATGTCCATTTTTGGAAAAAATTGAGGAAACAAGCAATTTATGTGTAATTCAACGTAAAACAATTTATGGTTTATGATTTAAAGTATTTATAAGGTTTGATTACTGTTTACGAAAATTGTGTAAATTCGTGTACGATTCAAGAAAAATAAGCGATTATAATTAACGAAGAACGAATTAGAGGGTATAACACGTTAAAAATCATTAAATGCATTTGCCAGATAAAATATTTTCTCTAAATTCAATAAACCATACGATGCCAAGCAAATTCTTGCAATCACTCGATGAATTTAAACGTTCCCATTAATCAACATTGCACAACTGCAATACACGCCGTTGAAATTACGAAAAAACAAGCATGATTTTGTAACTGGTCTCCCCTTTGAATCGTTCATTCTTTTCCTACAAAATTATTCGCCCACCACAATCAAAATAATTCCAACGAGAGAAATATATGATTGGCGAATTGTGCAATGCCATTTTCATAGACTATTGTGCGCGTCACACAACAAATTGCAGTTACACGTTTCACGTTCGCGGCAGACGTTGTACAAATATAAAATGAAAATGTTTGTAAATCAATTATTCCTCTCCGAAATGATTCAAACATAACGAGGTGCGCAGCAGATTTCAGTTAAAAAGTAAAAGAGCGAAGGCGTATTCATGGAGAGCATTTAATTCGAGCGTAATCAATTTCCTTCACAAATCAAGATCGCTTTGCAATAGTTCCAGCGTATTTCGCAAAGTGAAAACGGTATCCATTCCGAACCCTGCCTTCACCCCGCCATTTCTCCCTACCCTCCCGGTCCGCTCATTCGTGCCGCGTTTCGATTTTTATCTTTTGGCACGTTGCAAAGGCAACCACTTTTACAAAGCATCGATACAAATCATCCTGTCAAACGCGTTATCTGAGGGCTCTTTTTCATACGTCGCGCCGCGCCGCCCCGTGTCCACCATTGTTGCACATACATCGACGGTGCACTTTGTCCGAGAATTCATGCATGTCGACGCTTTGAATTTGGAAACCACGGAATTATCCGCGGGGCCGTTTTCGACAGATATTTTTGCATAAACGGAAATAAACATCGTTTTTAATCGAGGCATGCAGCCGGTACCGGGCAATTTTGCGGGGTGAACTTGACGCTTTCATTACGCACGAACGAAAACAAAAGAAAATAAGTCGGCGCATCGGCACTCACTGTTCCAGACACATATTGTGTACCTTTTTCCTTCTGACGTTAATACTTCTCCATCAATGTCGGAAAACTAACCCCGACAGTGTTCGTTAGCAACTACGGCTGATTGATCACCGATATCAACGCAATTCAATTCAACGAAACAACGCCCGTGACCGGGCTTTTTGAAGAAATATTATGGGATATGACGTGGAGCTTGGTTTAACTATAACAGTTGGTACGACTATTTAACTAGTTAACTGCATTTGACGAGTATACACGTCATTTTAAAACTTGAAATGATACTAATTCTCTCAGCGATGTTTATTTTTTCACATAAACATGTAATTCTTCTTTGTTTGGTCTGACTTTTCATTAAAATGTACCCTAAGTACATTCCTCCTGCGTTTGACAAGTACACATTTAATTTTTTTATTTCATTGCGCGCGAAACGAGAGATTTTTCGAACTAAATTGCATAGTTAACAGGTTAAGAGTTTGCTCGTCAAAAGGATGTAAAATCGGTCTGCCAGTTTATCGAACAAATTTGAGGATAGCAGAACTAATTGAAGGTAATTGCTGAGAAGCGAGCAGATTTTTAGGAAGTTTTCGATCGTTAGTCAGCCTCTTACATCGCATTTGTATTCACGATTTCTCCGATTCCACTTAACTCCGCGTAGAGGCCTCAAGTTCGCTCGGCGAACCTGTATAAACTATTGTTTCGCAGTCGGTTTTAGTCAGGAACACAGCCGTGGAAACGGAAAGAGAAATACGCGCGAAGTCAATTCGTTAGTTACAGACGGACTGTCGAGGGAAAGAGGAAGGTACATATTTGTACGAAGTATGTCCGCTTGTCGCTCTATAGTTACGACCGCTTGACAATGGTTTCGTTAATTAACAGTTCACGAAATAGGCCAAGCAAGCACGACCGGCTGAAATTATAATGGGTGCTACGGTATTCTATTATTCCGGAAAGAACAATTACGAGGAAAGAACAATCTCTAATACGGAACGGAAGTTCGGCGCGTTAATTCGAGCTCCAACGCGAAATTGTTCAAAGTAACGACGGATGTTACAGCTTTCTACAGGTGCACCGACAGTTTCAATTCACGGGCGAACGTTCCCTTGAAATTAAGAAGGCGATTAAGGGAACTGAGATTATCTTATCTGTAATCTCGGAAATCTATGGAATATTTTAATTATGCAGTATCTAGACGTGCACGATATTTAATATGAGTCTATAAGAAAACAATAGGTTTTCTTTATATAAAAAAGTTATCGTTTTGAATCTTTTAAATTAATTAATTAAATTGAAGTGTTATCTAGAACAGAAAAGTTGAGGTGTATAATCGTGTATAATTAATTTATTTTACTGGATATTTTTTGCGGTTATCAGTTGTCTGAGATTATTTGTTCAAATTGTTAAGTAACTATTTTGCTCGCTTATTCTTGTCGAGTACGTCCAATAATCAGGTAAGAGCCTATTATACTTTTATACGCTATATGAATTTTTGCATTTCATACCCTCTATCTAATTATTCAATTTGCCTTTAAAATTAATGTGGCCTCAAATGAAGAGTATTCAAGTAATTCATCTGACTTCTAAAGCACTCGTGAACGTTGATCCGACTCGAAGGACCAAATGTAAAGCACTCTGACTGTCACGAGCACTTTTGAGTATATGCTGAATTTTTCTCAAAGGACCACCCAATGTTGGAACTAAGAGTTCTAATGACTGACTGACTGAATGGTAGTCACTAATGGAGATTTTCTGAAGTGTTTCTAATTTGTTCCTAAATGAACGTGGTTGCTAAATGAACGTGTTCCTGATTGAACATGTTCCTCTTTCTAATTATCAACTGATTCTGATTCTGGTTTGTTTCTAAACTGTGTTCTAACTGTACTGATGCTGTTTCTATCTCTGATTCTAAACTCTGACCGATTCTCAACTCTGTGAAGGGTTTTTATAATCCTCCTGGGCCCATTCCATCCCTTCCTACGTATGATAACCACTCCTGTATCATCCCCTTCCAGTACGCTCGTAGCGGGGTATTTCCCTGGAGCGGGGGTGACGGAGTTGGTCGCTACGCTGGACAAATGTTTGGCAACGTTGGGGAAATTCCGGTAGGTCAGGATCCTTGAGGACACTTCTTTCTGAAATTCTAACGGACTCTCTGGAACACGACTTTACGATACCTGTAGGCCGGCCTGCTAAAGTACCGAATGGAAAGCTAACAGTTACGAACGTCTCTATGAATATTTTGCCGTATCGTAAAATAGTCCCCTTGTTGTTCTAACATGACTATACGCTTTTAATTAAACATGATAAAGTTTAAGAAAAGCAAAATTATTGTAAATATCTACTCTATTTTACCATACTAAAAAATTGTCGTATTTATAAAAATTGTTTGAATAATCGACTTTTAAGTCAAATGAAATTCATTTGTGCATTTATCATAGACTGTAGAATTTATATACTATTCATCTAAATTTGTCTAATAGTAATTAAATTAACTTGTAATTTGATAAAAATCAACTAATCTAGAAGAAATTCATTACATTTATTTTACCTACTTTCCCATCAGCCTAGCTTCTTGAAACGATCTTAGTATTGCAGTTCATGATGCAAGTCGAAAATATCGAAACTTTAACTGCTACCGTGCTAACGAACGGCCGCAGTTCAAAGGCGATGGTAGACGTTGGAATCACAGGAACCAAGACTATTTCCAATTACTCGACCACCCGCAAGACTCTTGCGGCTGATTTACGCGGAATTCAAAACTAATTGGCCACAGGCACCGTTGTCATCGAAACATCTGATGCTGCCCCGAAGTAACG